CTTCCAAGCTTCGTTGTCTTTGTCAATAACGGTATTTTGGCACTTCACTTTTACTCTACATCTGTTTTTACTGCTTGCTAATCACGTGCAGACCACCGACGTTCCCTGCAAAATTTAATTTACCACGGGTGTGAGCTCCTAGACATACTGTACTTTATCTACCGACAAAAATTGAAAGGAGCTTTTTGAATACATTGGTAAAGGCAAATGAAAATTGGAAGACCCTTGCAGACCAGTGGACGTTCTTGTTGCCAGTCACAGGGGAATGTACAGTAAGAGTAAAGCTTAGTACTTTATTTTGTGCAAATAGACATACCTATTGGAAGCATTCGTTTGACAGAAGCCACCATGAGACTCGTGAAGGCTCCGGTTTTAGGGCGCTTGCCTAGACATGAAAAAGAAAGTTTAAATAAGATTTCACAGCAGACTTTAAAACATCTGATTTCACCCCAGTGCGAAATTGCAACACAATGACGGGAAACTGAAAAATAGGCACAGTGACTTCTATGGAGGTAGACACACCCACGTTCTGAGGTTTTCGGAAAATGATACCCTGCTTCTAAAAAAGAGGCAGCCCTGGAAGCAATGCTTTACCAATTTATCATCTGGGCGACTGGCAATTGCAACCGCTACGTTTCCCTGCTGCTCAGCTGATTTATAATCCAAACGTACCCTTTAACCAAATAGATACGGAGATTAAGAACTATCTTGAATCATGGCAGTAGAAGTGTGCCACGGAAGAGTTCATAAATAAAAAGCGTATTCATAGTTTCCCACCGTCTTCCGGAGTAGAAGACAGTGGGCCTGTTTTGATGCGGTAGCCAAACCGAAGAAAGTACCCCGAAAAACCATCGGTTTATCTCGAGTTTAGCAGTTGCCAGAAAAAGAAGGTTGCACTGGTTGACTCCTGCCAAAGTCATCCAGCCAGTCATTTTAGAACGTGTTTTCTGTATGTGGTTGTCCGCTTTCGAACCCTCTGACAGGTAGAACATGCAATTTTGCAAATAGTTCATAGCTGACGCCTGCAGTTCAGTAAAATCGACTATATCTCACCTTTACCAGGCCTGGACTGGTCCTGTATGTTGGAGCGGGATGCCCCTTGTGAGCCCACATCCTGTGTCAGGCCGGCGCTGGGCATGATAAGGGAGAGTGTGTCAATTTCGTGCACACCAACAAAGGTCTCCTCCTCGCGTTTGAAGTGCTAGATTTTAAAAAAAAAACAAGGAAAGGGTAAGGCCACAGCTTAAAAAGAATCCATCCAAGAGGCTTCGAAAACGGCACTACATCCAAAGACAGATAAATACGCACCGCTGAGCCTGCCCACACGAGGAAGAGTCGGGCAACCGCGTTGAAGAGACGCTCAGTCTCCAAGGTGGGTCGTTGCAACCAGTTACTGCGATAGTTATCCACAAACTTGATCAGAAGGGGATAGAGGGCAAACATGTTGCGAACCAGGAGCTCCACGGCCTCTACCAACTCCACCTCTTTATCTGCGGCTTCGTTGCCTGAAACAAAGGATGCGTAGTAGAGACTATGGGGATATCCTTCACATGAAATATACAAGAACAGTTTGAGTGAGCTCAGTGATTTATACACAGTCTC